TCCCAACCCTTCATCGATCAATATCTCATCTCATATTCTTTGCTAGCCTCTCTCTCTCTCTGATCTCTTGTTTTTGCTTTCATAAATATATCGTCCTTGCCATCTTCTAGCCTTCCTCTCAATTTTTTAAAAGATTTCTCTTGAGTTCTTTATTATATAGTATATTCCCAAATCCTGATTTTGGTAGAAGCCATTCAAGATAACAATACTCCATCATTGTTAAGTAGATTTTGGTAAGTATATATTATTATCTTTTAACAATTATAAATTGCTTTGGATATAAGAAGGTAAATAGGTGTTACCGTTTATATATTTCCATCTGCCTATACTCTATATTGATAATTTTGAACATACTTTGTATGTATATATATGTGATTATGTGTGTGTATTTTCTTTGAACTAATAATCATTTCATTTAATTTTGTGCATGTAGGTCTAATAACTTCACTTAGCTTGAGTCTTAGCTTATTGATTGGCTCTCTCTTGCTCATAGTTCACATCAACTTCTTTCAGATCTCTCCCTCGCTCGCTCTTGGATTTATAATCGATCTTAATTCATTCCTGAAATTAAATTTGGGTAAGCTAAGGTTGTTGATCGAACACAAATCAATAACATGATATCTCTACCTTTTAGCTTATTAATTACCACATGATTATTATACTATATATATTCTCCATCAAATCAGAAGCTTCAATATCTTATTAGTATAATACAGTAGTAATTAAGTAGATAGGCTCACTCAATTGTTTTCTTTTCCTTTTTTTCTGGCAAAAGAACTTAATGGGTTGAACAAAATGTATCAGGAAAGTACATAAATTTGGACTTATAGAAAAGGATATTTTAATAAAAACCAAAAAGTTAAAAGCCAGTAGTTTTAAACATTAATGTGTACTAGGGAACCTCCGTCCCTAAATAAACTTCCGTTTTTGACTTTTTGAGGATTTAATGGAGGGATATTTTTGTGTTGACTTTTCAAAAATACTCTTGATATGATGTGTAAAGTAAGATGTGATATGTAGATTATTAGTAAAAAGGTATGATGTGATAGGCAAGGTATGAAAAAGTAATGGGTAAAAGAAGTTTTTTAAGGGAAAATAGAAGTTTATTTGGGAACAAAGAAAAAACGAAAGAGGAAGTTTATTTAGGGACGGAGGGAGTATGTTGTTAACATGGAGAAAAGCACCAGGATATATTAATTAGATTGAATATATAAAAATCTTATCTCAAGTCAATATTGAATTTCTCTGACGACCTTCAATTACAAAATCCATTTTTAAAAGTTCATCAATTATATTATACTCCGTATATTGAACATCGTACTACTCTATCAATTAAGTTAAATTAAATTTCATTAGTGTGACAGTAAAAATTTTGTACTTTTAAGTACCCCACTAATGTGAGTTTGGGGGGTTGGGGTGGGGGAGTACTGGAGTAGGGGTGGGGGTGGGGGGGTATGGTGAAGAATAAGGCTGAGGGATGTATATAAAAATGGTAGGGTTTGATTTAGTACGTAGATGCATGGGAAATTACACATAAATAGAAAGTCTCGGTTTCATGCATATATTGTGTGTTCTGACCCAACTCTGAGGAATATATCTATATCATCTCCGGGCCCTCTACTCATTTTCCACTCCAACCTTTTAATTTCCAACTAGTGTACACCAAAAGTGTACCCTCAAAAAAATACATCGACATTTTAACAGTTCACACAAGTAGAAAATTTTAGTTCAATTAAAAAAATTACACTGGTATTTTTTGTCAAATTAATCATCAAATTTTGGTGAACAAAGAACTTAGTCATTTAATTTCTTTTTCTCTTGTTCCCCGATCCCCATAATAAAGACACTTTTCTAGGCCACATCTTTTCTTTAATTGTCATGACATTATAAATTACAAAGTAGTTTATTATTATTATTATTATTATTATTATTATTATTATTATCATCATCATCATCATCATCATCATCATCATCATCATCATCATCATCATCGATAATTTTTAGCTTTCTATTCAAAAGTCTCTATTAATTTTTAATATATCTATCACATCAGATCATTCACTATAAATTTACCCAACAAGTCTTACTTTTATCCATCATAGACATATTTGAAAATTCAACACCTAAATACACTCTCCTTAAATTCTTTAAAAATCAAAATTTCACGTGTTTTTAGAGCCGGAGAGAGTATTTTATAATATTACGAGTATGTCTCTGTATCCCACTTCTTTAATGTGAAATTTGTACTAAATAGGACTAAAACATAAATCATTTTCAAATGTATGACTTAAATTTTTTTATTCCATAAATAGTACTTAATAATGTCTAGTGGAAGAAATAATGTCCAGTGATGGTGGACATTACTTAAATAATGACTAATGGATAATGACCAATAGTCTCACATTAAGAAATAAAAACATATGATCCTATATTGAAAAGTCATTATTTTTTAGTTCTATTTAGATAAATTCTCATTCCTTAATTATTTTTCACATTAATTATTATTTTATGATGTGAAAATTAAAATTTCTTATTGACATCTCTTATCCGCCGAACACAGTTTTTTGGGCAATTCCCAAATCAATACCAAAATATCTTATCGTTAAGTAAACATAGAAAAAGTGTAAAAATGTTTTCGGGGACTCATTTATTATAGACTACTGTACTTACTTCGGGGCTACTATAGAAATGGCAGATCACACTAACGATCTACGGATTGTTTGGCATATACAATTATGCATTAAACTATATCTACACTAAAACTTGTACTTTATTTTATTTTGTACTCTAAAGACATGCATCGACATTTGGTACTAATGTAATGCTAGTATGATGATTTATTTTATAAAAACAATGTTAATGCAATTTTTTTTAATTAAACTAACATTTTGTGTCACTGTAAATCGTTAAAAATATCGATACATTTCTTTGAAATACACTTTTTAGTGTATCTCTAACATGATTACAATTATACATGGTGGCTTAGCTTCGACCCAAGACCAATCATGTACCCATACTCGTAAACCGTGGTTGTCAAACACAGTACACTTAGTTGAGCCTTTCCCAATGAGGAATTAACACAAATTAATTACGGAGTATTATACCGTTTATACGTAGTCCTTAAGTATTTTTCTTCTACTCTACCATCTACTCCGTACTTTTCTGAAAACATAGAAGATTTTGATTTTTAAGGAATTTTTAAAATATATTTTAATGTTGAATTTCTAAAAATGTTATTAGATATGATAGGTAAAAGTGAGATTTTGTAAGCAGATTTATAGTGAATAAATGTGATGTGACAGGTAGTTTAAGAATTAATAAGGGTAAAAAGCAATTTTTAATAGAAATGAAAAAAAATTAGGACAGATAAAAAAAGAAAGGAGAAAGGTATTCAGGAACGAAAGGAATCCCTCTCAAGTCTCTTCATTTTTCTAATTTTGACTTATACATACGGTCTCTAATGTAACAATTTTAATCATTAATATTTTTGTTTATTATATAATATGGTCTATGGAGTATATATATTACCGGAGTATAAAAATATAATACTCCGTATTTCAAAATCATATTTTAAGATATGATAACCTATAGATCTTAAATTCATATCACAATTTAATGTATTGTTTTCTGTAATTTGTGGATAAAAAGTTGGCCGTGCAAGTTATAATTAGAATAAGGAAGCTAAGAAAATGTAGTGTACGTTTTACTGGTCTTCATTAACCTATCATGCATAATCTAAAAGCTCAAATGTGTAAGTGTATATGTAACAAAAAGATACTCCCTCCCCCATTCCAGATATACTCATGGTTAGTGAAAAAGAAAAGGGTAATCTCTATTATGTAAAGCTACAATATAAAGATTCGGTACTTGAAATAGCATTGAGGGCAAATGATTTGTACCTTATAGGATTTAAAAGCCAAAAAGGATGGCTTGAGTTAAAAGAGAGACACCATAAAACCGACACACAAAACTCGATTTCAAATGGAAAATTTATAGACGTGTGTATGGACTACCCGACGTTGAGACTTTTATCTCCGGACACTATGCTTGGTGGTCCTGAGCACATAGCTCAATCGATGGAAAGATTGTGGGAGGTTGACGGGGGAGACCCAAGAATGAGGGGTTCAGAAAAAAGAATTATCGCAAAACATTTGTTGACGATTATAACATCGTTCCCCGAGAGCCTACGATTCAACCACATTTTGGAGCATGTAGCAGGGTTTTTTAGCTTGGTAGATCCCGAACCTTTGGCGGCTCCAAAGTGGATTCTCAATATAGTTCGGTGTTGGGGGAAAATTTCATGGCTGGTGTTGAAATATAAGGACTCGAATGAAGAAGAAGCGGTGACAGAGAAGGATAAGACGAAGGAATTTACTGTGTATGAGGGTGGGAAGAAAATAGAGTTGATGAAGGCTGGCGAAATCAGGTCTGCACTTGGCATTATAAAAGTTGGAAACGATGAAAATGTGGGAGTGCAAGAAAAGGGAGAGAGTTCGAGAGACGGAAGAAAAATGGGAGACAACAAGCTTTTCAATTCCGGTTATTGGAATTTAACCAACTTCAAATGTGCATTAAAAGCAAACATGTTACATTATCAAAATATGGTGTTTGTAAATAAATACAAACTCATCTCTATAATATATATATATATATATATATATATATATATATATATATATATATATATATATATATATGAGATTTGCTTCAAGTTGTTTTTCTGAATTTGAGACGTTCAAACTACGGAGTATTAAACACATTATGTGCCAATCAATGAATGGAAAGAGGAGGAATCTTTCATTTCAGAGGATAAGAAAGTGGGACAAAAGAATGCTAATTAAGGCAACACTTTTTTTTTTAATACTAACAATGTGAAAACAACCTTTGACATATTGCAAGGGAAAACCCAACCCTTTCAAATCTATTAGGCCAGATATATATACTGTGTACAATCTCTATGTTTATTGAATTGTATGAAAGATTAGCCCTTTAGATATGTTTTCTATGATCCGCTTTCATTATTAGGCTGTATGATTAAAGTACTGTAATAACATACTGCTCGTCTAACCCCTTTAGAGAATACAACTCAAAATCCACCCAAAGTAGCTTCCAAATCAAACTAAAGTGACATTTTGCCTAATGAAAGGAACATTTAAGAGAATCATCCAAGAATCATACAAATCTTAACTACAATAATCACTAACTTAACCACATATTTGATATCACAGTCCAAATATACCCATTGATGAAACTCCAAATCAACAACGATGAAAGCATGGTCAACTAATCCATCCATATACTCACTATTATGCTAAACCCTTGTCTCTGAATCCATCAATAGCTAAAGTCTAAACAACTCAGTGTCAAGGACTTGCCAATCCAGAAAACTCCCAACCTTGTTATCCTCTTTGGGATCACACTTGCGGAAAAAGGGCCGACCTTCTCCTCAAAATAAGACTTGTTCCTTTCAATCTGCAATGACAAATAAAACAACACCTAAAATAATGAAAGCTTCAGGAAAAAAATGGAAAGGAGTAACATTTTTCTTTTCAAGTAAGAATTAGCGAGCTTATCGAGTAAATTATGATAGGATATAAATAAACCACATTCACAGTATGAGGTGAATGTCTTGCCTACCTCTTCACATATATAATTGTAATCGCGGTTAGGATCATTTTTGTATCTACCAGCCAGTGCTTCTTTCAAACCCTAGAGATTTCATTAATAAATGTTAATATACAGAGTATTAATAAATATTGATCTAGTGACTAGCAATAATGAAGTCCTTTTCGGTTCGAAGAGATGAAAGAGAGGGGATGAAGGAAGAGAGATTGTCCCCCTCCCCTCAAAATCAAACATGCCTACAGATCGAGAATGAACATTGTTAAAACACAGGAACACTATTAAATCACTGAACTGAACAAAAAGAAAAAGGATTCTACCTCAATGTCAGAAGAGACATCAATATTCGAAATATCATCATACACCATCTCCACTGGAGGTCCGCGATCAGGTTTGGGAATTTTCTTCCGTTCTGCACTAACTGCTTCAGACACCTTATGGTAACAATCATTATCACCCCAGTATCCAAAAACAACTGAGAGGACTCCTCTAAAGAAGAAAAGGTTAAAAAACTACTATTAGTAGAGGAATTGAATGCTTCTATGCCAGTGAAATGCAAATTAATTACTCTATAATATGGAGTAAGACTAGAAGACACTTAACGCGGCCATGTCCTCTTCAAGGTCATAGTCACAAAAAGTATATACTCTGCATATGATTTGAAATTTTAAGGTTCTACCCATCAGAAGTCAAAGAGAGTTATATAAATTTCAAATAAATATGACCGCCTAGATCAGAATAGAACATGAAAGTCATATATATATATATATATATATATATATAAATCTAGCATATCATACACACATCACCTAATAATGGCATCGGTTTGTGTCTCTTGCAAAATGGGTTGGAAGAATGTGTCCCTCATGAGAGCTTCTATTCGTTCGTGGCGTTCCGCATTAAGTCTACGCCCTAACTCAAGGAGCAAGTACGGATCCTATAAAATTAAAACAGCAAAAAACGTATGAGAATAACATATACATAACTACTTGATGTAATATGGTGAATCAGACATGGAACATTATGATGCAGAAATAGAGAATACCTCAATGTGTGCCTCAACACATGCCTGAATAAACACATCACTGTCAAAAAGAGTTTTCACTCCAGCAACAAAAGTTGAGAATTGTTCACCATCTTCAACAGCATTCTTAAGGGATTGAAAAAGCTCTTCTTCTACCAGCTGCTTGAGTTCAAAATCAGATTCCACCTTTCTACACAGGATGTCCATGAATACATGCTGCACAAACACCCCAAATTACCTAAACAATCCAACCAACCAAATGATGTGTGTTGTGCTAGAGCCTAAGTGAAAAGAAAAAAAAAATTACTGTCAGTATATAATCAATGAAAGATCTGTTTTCTAAAAAAGAACTAATGTCTTCTGAAGAATTTGGGGAATCTGGAAGCATCTCTTCTTCTTGTTCATTATCAACATATAATGTCTCCTCCTCCTCCTCCTCCTCGATGGCTTCTCTTTTTCTCTTATGGTCAATATGAACCTCTACCAGAAAAATAACATAAAATGGTTTCAGATCTGATGGAGATAGTAATCGAATTAACAAGTAGGAAAATTGATGCAGACTTCCCCAACTATTAGCTACTTATTACTGTTTTGTCCTTTCATAATTTCCCTTTTATATCCCTTCCTTACGTGTAAGCATTGATGTGGGCTCCTATATATATTTGGTATTTGGATTGTAATGAACTAAGAATATTTTCCCAAAATATTTCTCTCCCTCTGTATTTCTTTTCTCTCTCTTTACGGTTACAAGCCTCGAGACTCCGTAACACTGGTATCAAAGCCACGAGACCAGGCCAGATCTGGCGCTGACAAGAAGGAAAGCAACGCAAATGGCATCTTTGGAAGAAGCCCTCAAAGCCCTAATCGATCAACAGAAAACCTTCACCATACAGATGACAGAGCAAAACAGAAGGATCGATGAACAACAACAACTGTTCGGACAGATGATGGAGCAGATGAAGACATTAGCTAATGGGGGATCGCCCACCTCCATGGGGAACGATAACGAGTACCATAGACGATCAGAGGGAGGTAATCACAAACCGCTCTATTTTAATCCCAAGGTTGAGTTTCCGCAGTTTGATGGGTCCAACGTACGAATCTGGATAAAAAAATGTGTTTAGTATTTCTCGTTATGTCAAATTCCTGATACGAGAATAGTAGATTTAGCTTCCATGTATCTGATAGGCAAAGCTGCTGTATGGTATAATAGCTCTACGATGGGTAGAGTTAATATTACTTGGGAAGATTTTGTGGTGGATTTAAGTGCCAGATTCAAGGACGAGCTAGGCTCGAAGGTAGTTGAAGAATTTAATAAACTGCAGCAAACTGGGAGTATAGATGATTATGTAGACAGGTTTGAGGAGCTGAGATCTTGTTTGTTGATGAAGAATACAGCACTTCCTGTGAGCTACTTTCTGGACAGTTTTATAGGAGGGCTCAAACCTCACATCAAGTCATTTGTGAGGGCTATGAAGCCAGAAAATCTGTCAGGAGCAATTGAGTATGCTAGGTACCAAGAAGAAACTGTACAAGCCATTAATTTTAACTACTCACTTTTTATTTTTAAAATTACTTTTTGAAAATTTTATTAAGACAAGTGAGTGAGTAGACCTGGCAAATTGATCGGTCATGTCAGGTTCGGATGCGGTCATTTCATCTTCGAATTATATCGGGTTTGGGTAAGTTTGTGTTCAGATTGATAATTGCATGTTCATGATCGGGTTCGAATCGACCCAACAGGTTATAAGATCATTTTTAGAATATTAAAAATCATACTAACATTTATATTTTACACTTAAAATATTTAAATATCAAAAAACATATATTACAGCTCTTGGAATAGTTTATTTTGAACTTTTACTTGCTTTTTAGTGTAAGTTTGTCGGGGTGCAGCGGAAATCACCAATTGAAAGCTATGCAAACAAATCAGTCAACTATGCTCCAAAAAAGATGCTGCATCACTGGCACACTAACAGTGTGCTATAACACCTTCTTCGTCATGAGCACACGCACACAGAAGCAGATGATGCAGAGGGTGTTACAACGCCTATTGAGCAGAAAGTTGTAACTATAAGATGCGTAAAAAATAACACCAGATATATTTACGCAGTTCGGAGAACTTTCCAACATTTGCGGGGCCCAAGTCCGTGTAATAGCCCTCCACTAAATCACTAGATGCAAGTTACACCGGTACATAACAACATGACTATGAGACACTTCTCCGAATTGTTATGACAAAACTTCTAATCTAGGATTTCTAACCCGTACCTTGTACAGATCCGCTTCGGCTATCACATCTCCACCGAGATCATGAGGACAAACGTGTGGGCAGTCCTCTCCTTAAGCTCTTGTCCACCTCCTGGTTGTCACGACCTGTTTTTCATTGTAGGACTCCTTCGTCATGTAGATCATATCTTTCTTCACGCATGGAAAGTTCTGGGACGCGACAGGAACGCTCTACATCAGCGTATATTCTTTGTTTTTCCTCTTAATCGCTCCCAGAAATCCCCAAGGATCTGCTGCGTTTTTATATGATTCTCTTAACACAACCTTAGTAGGAATAAGTTAGTAGAAGTTGGCTTGAATACAACTTACTTAATCTTGATCCACAAGTAGCCTAAAGAGTTGGGATTCCTTAACACTTACAGTTGGAGTTATTATTATCATGTGGTCACAATCCCAATAGGTCTCTAATTCAGATTGCAGTTTAAAATCCTGTGCTCAGACGTGTGATCCAGAACAGTGTGTTGCAGCATCGTGTTGTAGCATTTTCTATGTCAACCTCGAAAACTGCAACAACTCTAAAAGTCTAAATAAAATAAACCTTTTTTAACAAATAGAAGTTTCTACCTCGTAAAATACCTAACAAATATGGGATTCTATTTTACCAAAAGATTAGCCAACACCATGGAACTAACATTTAGATATAGGAAGTATTTAACAATATTATCAATAATATAAAGATTAAATATATACCACTTTTAAAAAATCTAAGACAAATATGTGATAAGATTTAAAACTTGTTTGCCCGATCGGGTCGCCTTCTTCTTCCTTCTTCTGTCGGATCTTTTTATTTATTTTTGTTAATCTTTTTATTTATTTTTGTTAATTTTGAATTTATAACTTTTATTTTATTTATTACTCCCTATGCCAAAGATTTTCTCATTTCGCGTTACAAATCTTGACTGATTTTATTTTCAATTCAATTTATTTAATTGTAGGGGTAAAATTTAAAAATAAAATTTCTATAGTAAAAAGGTCCAAAAAAGTTTTACAAAACTAATGGTGACAAGGATATATTATTCTATAATATGAGTAGTAAAAATAGGCAAACAAATTGAGTTAAGTTTGACCATATAAATAGTAACTGAGAAAATCTGTGGTGGACAGAGGGAGTATTATTTATCAATTTTTTAATAATAAATATTTGTATTATATAAGTTTTGAATTTATTAATAATTTATATAAGTTTTGAATTAAAAATGATAAATATTATAAAAGAAATGGAGAGGCAGATTTTATGGCGATATTATTACAGGATTTTAGGTCAGGGCAAAAAATTAATGAAATGCTAATGTGACAGGAATTGGGACGGGGCGGATTTCTTATTGTTGTAAATGATCTTAGAGCATTGGAAATGATCATGAAGTCTAGATCTTCAAACATTCTCTCTCTGCCACATCAGTTTTAACTTCAAAATTTTACTGGAAATGAAGCTCCGAGACTTCAAAGTGGGGCTTCAAACCTTTTTTTAATTTTTAATACACATTTGTAATTTAAAAAAATAAAATTGGATTAATTAATTAAATTTAAACACTAATAATTCATTAAATAAAAAAATACATTCAATAAAAAAATTAAATTAATAAAATAAGATTTGAATAATAACAAAATTATATTTACATTTTTTGTATTTAATTTATTCATAAATGACGTTAGATGTTCATTTACTATGAGTTATGGATAGAAATTATTAATTTTATGAATGGATTATTAGAGCACAAGAAATATCGAGCTTCAAATCGAGATTTAAATTAATATACATTAATATAATAACCACAAAAAAAATTACATATTCACGAGGCTCGAGACCGGATGGAGGATTCATGAAAAATGAGAATTTTTTTTAAAGGAAAGATGAAAGAAAGTTGAAGATTTGTGTGTGTTTTGTTTTAAAGAATGGTAGTAAATTTATAGATTTTTTTTTTTAAATGTAGCCAACCACTACGTTTTTAATATGTGGACCATTGTCAAGGGTGGGGGGCGCCCACTTTTTCTCCTCTCTGCGTCAAACCTTTGACGCAACCTCCTTAACGCCACTTTAACTTACATAAAGGCAGCCCGTTAGAAGTCCAATAATGCAGGGGGCTTCATACCTATTTGGCTATTTCCATTGCCCAAGGCACACAATCCAGACATTAATTTCAAGTGTTTTGGCTAGTCAAATAAGCAAAGAACCAAACATGAGGTTTTTCAGCTTCTCTTGCTCCATCTCTTGAAAACCTGGAAATCAGGCACTCAGAGGGCATTTCAGGTTGTATTTAAAAATTGATTTTTGAGCTTCTTCTTCATTAAAATGCTATTTTCTGATTATAAATTATGACCTTTGTAGTCTAAAATAGACTCCAAAAGTACTTTTAAGCAAAGATAAAACTCTGTTTTCCCCTTCTACTTAAATCTTGGGATTTTTCAACAATCTACCACACTTCCAAACACCCTCTCAAACATTTCAATTTGTTCCATCCAAAGCAAAAGCTGAGAATCGTGTTCAAAATCAGTCCCAAACACCCTCTAAAACTTCTGTTCCAAAGCATATTACTCTATTAATGAGTCTAACTAAAAACAAAAGTTAGGAACTAAACACGTCACAACTCATGAGTGATAATGTACTAGGACAATGTAATAGGATACCCACCAAAATAACCCCAAAACAACTCTAACAAAGCTAATGCCCACAATGTCTTTTCCCAATATGCCTTCTTGATATTCATTCGAAGATCAAACTGCTGCAAAGATCCTTTTAGTAAGTGTGGCGCACCTTATTTGGCCCACAAGGTTCTCCATTTGTCCTTGAGATCAACGGGCGTACGAGTCCCATCAAACACATGACGACCAAAGTCTAAGATCTTCCTCCAAGGTATGTTTTTGTTAGCCGTTGTTGAGAACTTATGAACACCCTCCTTTAGCCATGTATATGCAATAAATAACCAACCATTAGAAACTCAACTTACATGCAATTTTCATCAATATTCACATAGAAATTGTTACTCCTATACAATTAATTAAGGTTGTCTGAAATTTTGTTTTCATGTATGTACCTTAAGCATTTCTTCCTCTTCCTCACTCCACATTAACTTTTTACGCCTTCCATTTGGAATTGGACTCCTCCTGCAGCAAAGAAATTAGTTCAAATAAGAAGCACAGTCAAGCAAACGGAGGTGGAAAGGCATTCTACCTGTCCCCAAAAACAAATTGATTGAGCATTGTACATGTTTAGATTTTCATAGGTAAAAACTTCCATAAATCATTAATTATATTTATATTTATGACGTTTTATTTGTTTTAACTAAATTTATTGACTGTGACACTCATTGAGAATCTTTTGGTAAATCAAATATAAGATTCATTTTATCAAAATAGATTCTTTTTTGGAGCAAAACGTGCTTAAAAGAAGACTATTTTCAAGGACAGATGGAGTATGAAGATTTTAGTTATCTTCTCTAGTAGTTGATCACTCACTGCCATGTTGAATGCTCTAGAGCTAGCAACTTGATAGGTTCATTTGTCTCCCCATTTAGACTTGAAACTTTCGTTGTTGCATAAGTTGACCCACTTGACCTTTTCTTAGGATCGGAATTTAAAGGCTCATCCTCAGTTTCACTTTTCTTTAAAATGCACTTGCTTCTTGTTGAAACGGCACCAGATTCTGCACCACCAGCTTCATTTTCTTTCCTCTCGGTTTGCATTTTTAATGATTTCTTCTTGACATTATCTTCATTCTCAGTTATTTCTCTCAAGTTGCATTCTTCATCCAGTTGTTCGTCATCAATTTCTGGTTCATCTTCTGCTAGCCTGCGTTTGGATTTTCTCCTAACATCCTTTTCGCTTACAGGTGTGTCACTCAGGTGGCCACCTTCAATATCTTTATCTATTTGTTGCTCATCAACCTCCAGTACATATTCTGCTAGCTTCCGTTTAGATCTCCTCCTCATTTTCTCCTCTTTGTCAGGTATCTCCCTCAGGTGGCAATCTTCAACATCTTTATTTAGTACTTTGTCAACAACCTCAGGTTCGTCTTCTGCTAGCTTTCGTTTAGATTTTCTCCTGGTTTTCTTTACACTGTCAGGTATCTCGCTTGGGTGGCCACCGTCAACATCTTTAGCTAGTTGTTCCTCATCAACCTCCGGTTCATCTTCTGCTAGCATTCGTTTAGATATTCTCCTGACTTTATTTTCTCTATCAGGTATATCACACAGATGGCCATCTTCTGGGCGATCTTCAACATCACTATTTTGTAGTTCATTTTTTGTAAGCACTTGTTTCGCATTTTTCCTTGTTTTCTTGTCTCTTTTAGTTTTTTCCTTGGTTTTATTTCCTCTTTCTTGTAACTGACTCGCACGGCCGTCTTCTTGGTGGTTTTCATCATCTCTTTCTAGCACTTCGTAATCAACGTCTGGTTCGCTTTCTGCAAGTAATTTATTCGCTTTCCTCCTAGTCGTCTTTTGTCTTTCGGGTGTCTCGTTCAAGTAGCCATCATCTTGAATATCTTCCACTCCCAGATCATTCTCTGCTAGAATTTGTTGATCATTTTTCATCGCTTTCCTTTCTCTTTCAGGTATCTCATTGGGATGGTCATCTTCTTGAGGATCTTCAGCATGTTTATCTATTTTGTCATCATCAACAACTGAATTATGTTCTGCTTCCATCCCTTCACCATCCTCTACAGCTCTAAGTCCCTCCTGTATGGCCACTTGTTCATCACTAGATTTACATCCATCAGCAACAACCGGACCACATTCCGTTCGATGCCCAACCGCCAATAAGGCATCATTATCACAATTATTGTCCATGGAATGATGAACATTTATACTCTGCAAGACATCAGATGGTTGGGATAGTAGTTTTTCACCATTAAGCACTTCTTTATCTAGGAAAGTGGACAGAGCTTGCTTTTTTAACATTGCAACTTCCAACGCTTTGTGCAATTCTGCAGTTGTTTGCCTGTATAAACAGTATGGGCAATAAAAGTCTCCACCATCGTCAAAGTAAGCCTGGCAACCCATACACTTCTCGTGAACAACTATAGGACATCTACTGGTCCTACTCTCACTGCAAGCCAATATCTTGCCACCCCTATCACATTTTATGCAAAGATCCTTCTCTGACCAACCCATTGTCTAGAGTTGTTCCAGATCACAGATCTTCATCAACACACCTCTCTCCCAGAACTTGCACCACACAAACCTAACAAACAACCACAGATAAACAGACATTTTCATCAGATACAAACACTGAGATGGAAATGTGAACGAAAACTACATTCGCTCCAAAACTTTGAGCTTTACAATCATAATGAAAAAATCAGCAAAATTTATTTCACATATTGCATATGAATTGAAATGATGGGTTTTAATTTGCAATCTACTACGGAGTATATTATGTCCAAGTAAACACACTAACAATGTCACATATAATTCACATAGAACGGCGGTATGTTGGAAAAAGAATTACTGGTATCTAAATGAAATTGACAAAATCTTCTACTTCTTCTTCTCGATTAGAACAAAGGAAATCCAATTACAAATCAAAGGAGAATACCTTCAAACGCTGGAAAGGAGTTTCCCGTCAGTCTGCTGATGGGCTTCACTCCATCAATGGAAACAACTGATCCGGGGACGAAATGGAGAAACGCTAGGGTTTTGCGGGTCAGGAAAAATGGATCTTCGTCTTCGCTGATCTTTCCGGTGAGACGGACATGAACTGCCGTTTCTCACGGTTTAACAAAAACAAGGGTTTTGTGGAACTTAAACCACGTTTTTTTGTAGAGTGACTTTAGATTTTAAAAAACTTCGTACACCACTTACTTATACACCAGTTGCTTACACTAGTTCGTTTGTGATACCTACGGTGTTCCGTTTGTAAAAACGACGGTTCCTACCTCCCTAATCCCCCTAAACCTCCCATCCCAGCCCCAACCCAGCCCCCCCTCCCGCCCCCCTCCCTACCCTGGCAGTACACTGCCTGGCAGTGTACTGCCAGGATAGGGAGGGGGGCGGGAGGGGGGGCTGGGGTGGGTGGGCAAGGGTGGGGCTGGGACGGGGGGTTTAGGGGGAGGGTTAGAGGGGTACGAACCGTCGTTTTTACAAACACAGCACCGTAGGTATCCCAAACGAACGGGTGTAAGCAAATGATACCAGTAGCACTGGTGTCATTTTAGACTTACCGTATATATAAAAAAGAAGTATTACCAATTTTATTTTCAATTTAATTGAATTTTATTTTAGTTGTAAAATTTAAAAATTAAATTTATTTTCTAAACAACTACATGAAAAAATCTACAAAACAAATATAACATAGACTATATTTTCTAAAATGGGAGTAGAAGTAAAAAACAAAATTAATTATGTTTGACCTTGTGAATATTACCGGAAACGATCTATTATGGACGGAGGGAGTATTTTCTTTCACAAAGCATTTATATATTTTTTTGCAGACATTCGTAATCCATCTTTGAATGTATAAAAATATTTTTTTGTTAACTAGTCGATTATTAGTTACTCTGTATTTTTTTAAACTTTTCACATTTATATGGAATATTTACACTTTATAACAAAATAGTATTTGTTCATACTATTCTCAACCTAATGACGCACAAAAGACCAATAACTCTGCCTCCTGAGCGGCTCCAACTTACAATCCTAAGAAATTACATCATCTATGGTTCTTGATATTTGAAATGTATTCATAATCTATCCTTTGAAGAATATTTATGAAAAATAATATTTATGTTAAATGACTAATTTTAAAATAAGAGCAATGCTAGGGGTACACCTTTGGTGTACCCCAAATGTACACCACCCCCTTCTCCACCACATATTTTTATTTGATTTTTATTTAATTATTTTTTTTAAATTTCTTTTGTCTTTTTTAGTAGACAAGGAGGGGGTGGGGACATATGGGGTACACCAAAGGTGTACCCCTAGCATTTTTCTTAAAATAATTCTCAAATATTGAGAACGACGAATGTGATCTTTTAGAGTTCGAGATTATATGTAGAAATTTGGTTGGCAACTCTTTACATAAAATATCCCAAGTACCTAACACAGTCAATACATTTTATCAAATACGGAGCACTATTTTTAAAAAAACAATGCAGAATTTATTTAAAAAGTACAACTCCATATAATATAGTAACTTTCCTAATGTAATATCGTATGTTTCTATTTTCCAATGTAATATCACTAGTCATTATTCACTAGTCATTATTCAAGTAAATGTTCACCACCATTGGACATTGTTCAAACTAAATGTCCACCATCACTGGACATTATTTTCACCACTAGATATTATTCAAACACTATTTAAAAATTAAAGAAGTTTAATTACTAAATTAGAAAATGACATATATTTTAGTACTATTTAGTACAAATTTCACAAAAAACAATTGGCCCTAATAATTGACAAAAACATTTAACCAAAGATTGACACGAACACATAAAACAACTTACAAGTTACAACTAGTTTCCAAACAAACTACTAATAATAAATTTGTTCTAAAAAGTTACCATTGAAAGTTTTAATAAAAAAACAAGGAGATGACGACTTGATCATTTTATATTGTTTCACATTATTAGTTACCAAAACAACAATTTATTTAAGAATAAAGAGCATTTGATGAACAATTATAGAGAAGCAAGAGCAAAACCCAGCACAAGATCTGTATTAAATCAGGAGTTGCCATGCAAAGCTCAATAGAGTTGCTTTCTCTGCTTTCAAAACCATATCAAGCAGATTACACTTCAGTATCCACTGTCAAGGCTTTATCCCAACAATGGCATCATCCAGCTACAATATGATGACTACATGTCCAAAAGTTACAACGAACGGGCGAGCTACGACCAACTTTAAATGCAGAAAAATAAAGAAAAGACAAGAAAACTGAACAAATGGTAAATTGAAAGAATCATAGAAATAAGGTATCTATATGTATCATAGCAGAAATGTTCTTCTTCTTCTTCATATCTGAACAAACACGGTTGGTTGGTTGGTTGGTTCATTAGAATAGGTTCAAGCTCAATCAATCTTCACGGATGAGAAGAGGTAATGGACAAAGTAAAACGATGTTAGGAAACCGATGGTGCCTGTGGCGAGCATGATTGCAACTGCCACTATCAATGAATAGCCTAAATACAGCGTGGCAGACACGGGCCCACTCAGACTCCGAAGGTCAAACACCAAATAGTTGACGGAATACAAGAACACATAGAGAGAGACGGAACCTGAGGCGTAGAAAGCTTTCCACCACCACATCCAATCCTCAACACATAAATGCATGTATGTGAGGACAACCGAGACCTCCGCACAAACGATCACCAAAAGAAGGAAGACAATGAGGAGGAAACCAAAGACGTAATAGAAGCGTCCAAGCCATATGCTAGAGAGGATGAAGAAGAGTTCTATGAAGAGTGTACCAAATGGAAGAGTTCCAGCTCCAAGAACAAGAATCCATGATGGGTATTTTCTTGATGGGATCTCCCTTGGGATCTGATTGGTTCGGACAGGGAACTGAATAGGGTCTGCTCGGGTCCCAAGATGACCTCCCAAGAGAGTGAGTGGGACCGAAATGCAGAACCATAGGGCTAAGAGTTTGAAGTATAAGGAAATGGGGATCGCACCAGTGCTATGGCTTCCCCACAGAATAAAGTTCAAAACTGTGAGCACGATGAAAACGATCCCTGGAAAGAAACATGTGGTTGCCCAGCAAACTGACTTCCATCCCTCTGGATTTCCCTTGATGGTTATCCATAGCCGGACACCTACATAACCAGCTGAGATTCCCAAGAACAGGTAAAGCATTATCATTCCCGTTAACAGCATGCCCCGAGAAGCTGGTGACATGAAACCAAGGGCAGCAAAAAGAATAGTCACAACTGCCATTCCTGTAATCCGAACCCCATCTCCAATCATAACACAGAGTAGCTTTGAGTGATTAGGTTCTCTAAACACATCGCCCACCACTAGCTTCCACCCAGAAAGTTCCTCGTTCATCTGTGCTTGAGCTTCTTTATCCAATTCTTCATACCTAGGGGTTGGAAGAGATTAAATTGATTTAAATTCAATCCCTGATTCTAATTCGAATAAGGAGATTTTATTCTCCCAACGAGTCTAACATGAACACAAATATGTATCCCATATTTGATTTGAATACGGAGTAATTGTTAAATTTTATATGGAAATACCCGTACATTCGAATCAATTAATATCCGAATATTATCTATATTCTATAGTGTAAGCATTTCATAGCGAATATATTGAGATAACATGGTGAAATCGAATGCAAACAGCTTTTGAGACCCAGATAGTAAACAAACACAAAAAGATTCTAATATAATCAAATTTAAATAGAGTGCGAAGTATATGTTTATTTGATATGATACTCATACAGTCATACCTTGTTAAATCCCTTCGAACAGTTCTCAAGAAGATGACAAAAACAATCCCAGCCAAGAAGAGAATCACCATCAACGAGTTGAGAATTGAGAACCAGTGAACACGATCACCTTCCATCTTGAGATAAGCATCCCATCGAGATGGCCATCTGATGTTGCTTTTCACAAATTCAACTTCATAAGTGAATGATATCCTCTCATTCTCCCTTACAACTTGAGACTTGCTGATCTCCAATGGACACTGTATTGGCGTGGCACTATCGTACATGTGAAGCTTGTCCATCTTTTCAGGATCATATTTAACGCTGCAAGGGACAACCTCGAAACCAACAATTTCATAACCAGACGTCTTCTTCTTATCAGTCTCTGAAATAACACCCATACCTTCTTCCCCAGTACCGATTATCTCCACTCCAGCACCCTCATACTCGTGAATCAAAACTTTAAACTTCAAGTGGTTAATGATGTAAGCTTCGTCATTGCTGTTTGGTGATGTGTATCCGACAGGATACCCAGTCCACTGAATCTTCATTCCATTCTGGGAAGTATATCTCAAAGCAGGCAAATTATCGAGGATCATATTCACCTGATAAAGGTCACGTGTCCGCTGTTTCAAGAGCTTCGCTTCGTAATCCTTTAGTGGGGGAGTGGTGCAAAGGAAAATTGACTCATTCACATTCATCCGAAAACGGTAAGGAGAGTTATCAATCTGATCTCCCATCAACAACTCTCCAAGATTCTCAGCACTTTTCTTGACACCATTCTGGGGTTTGCAGTAAGGGAGAGTGTAGTAGCCAAAGGGAAGCTCAGTCTCAATTGAGGTTAATGAATTCACTTTAACATAGATTTCATCACCATTGGAGTATGTATGCATGTAGGTGCCCGGCAAATAAAACCCATTGCAAGAGTGTGAAACGAGGATGAAAAGTAACAAACCAGCTGAGATTCTCCTCAAGACAGATGAAAACGTCATTGCTAAACAAAACGAGGGACACAACCCCGGCAGACCCTACTAGACCTAGAACACCATTAATGGTGCATGAATCATGAATCTACAAAATCAATATCAAAATTTCAGAATGAATGTCAATAATATATATTCATCATCTGCAACAGTATAATGTAAAACCACATAGAGATGCAAAAACGCGAACAGCCTAACAAAATGAACATTGTACATCACAGAATGTTCAAAAGGCCATATCCAACGTTAAAATCCATAATCAAAATGCAACCGATGCAATCAAAATGTCAGAACAGAGCGGAGGACAAACATCTATAAACTTGCGGCAAATCGAGGATCGCCAAACACACACA